ATCTGGGCAGGAAATGCTTCCCTTCTACCTTGTCCTGCTTGCTTCCCTCACAGATTCGTTCTGGCTCCTCTTTCTTCCCTTTTTTCTGTATTGTCATTTAGCTTTTCATCATTTAGCTTTTGGGGGCTTTTTCAGTCCCTTCTGCTGTGTTTTTCAGTGTTTTTATGAGTGAAGGACAGACATTGGGTTGTTAGGTGTCTTGTGTCCAAATTTGGTGTCAATTCCCCCAGCAGAAGTGTGGCTATGTGATGATATCTAATAATAATAAGGGGTAAAAATCAGCAGACAGTGAGCTTAAGGTTCGTAGAATAGTCTTGGTATTTGTGTATCCATCGGTTAGTAAACTTTGTGTGTGAATACTAATGTCAGTATGTGTTTTGTTAGTGTTTGCCTTTGATTTGCTTCTGTAGTACATTGCAGTGACTAGATAACTGTGTAGTTTTAGTGATATATATTATAAAAATCTCATCTTTTTGGTTTTACTCTTTCCCTCTGTTTTCTTTCTTCATTTCCAAACATAAAAATAGTTTACAAAAAGATATTCTTGGCCCAATGGTCCGATACAGAGGGTTTTGCTTACGTTCTCAGAACTGCATCCTACGTCCCCAGGAATTTTCACCCAGTCTCTCCAAATATTATTCATTTGCAACCCAGTCAGTTTTGCAAACAGGGCAAGACTTTCAAATACATTCTTGGTTGCTCAGTGTGGCATTGGGAGGAAATCAATTAAGTTGAGACCTATAACCCACCCTATTGCAGAAATTTGGGGGCAAATTCAGCTTTATTTGGAAGAGAGAAGCTGGCAAAGGACGTGTGTTCCATGCGTTTTGTTTATGGCACACGGAGGCCAAATATTTGCTTGGCACGAGGGCTGAGATTCCAGGAAATTTCCACTGTTTTGACACTGCTGTCATTGTTTTTGTTCCTAATGCCTTCCATGCTGTTGGTTAATTAAACAGCGTGACCCACTGGGAAAACAAAATTCTTGCACAAACACTGCTGAAATTTAAAAAGAGAGGAATGAATCTTGCTAAGAAAACACCACGAGAGGGGCAGAGTCAACTTGGAGGCATAACAAACCCAGACGTGATGCACCCTTGCATGCAAGACGGAAGGAAGGCTTTCCAAAGCTTCCTTGCTATTGAATTACAAGAAGGTTTTGTGCAATTTTTGCAATTGCATTGTGTACTTTTGATGCCAGGGCACAGCATCAAAAGACAACAATGAAAAATGAACATACACCAAAATAAAATAATACAAATGATTGAACTTTTCCTCCTTTTTATGATGGTAATATTTACAAGTAAATTTAATGTCATTACATGTCTGTTCAAGAGATCTTTGCAGCTTTTTTTGCCGCCACATCACATTTCTGGCTCATGTTTAACTTGTTGTCCATGAGGACTCCAAGATCTTTTTCGCACGTACTGCTCTCGAGCCAGGCCTCGTCCCCCATTCTGTATCTTTGCATTTCGTTTTCCCCCCCGCTTAAGTGGAGTATCTTGCATTTGTCCCTGTTGAACTCCATTTTGTTAGTTTTGGCCCATCATCTCTCTAATCTGTCAAGATCGTTTTGAATCCTGCTCCTGTCCTCTGGAGTATTGGCTCTCCCTCCCAATTTGGTGTTGTCTGCAAACTTGATGATCATGCCTTCTAGCTCTTCATCTAAGTCATTAATAAAGATATTATTATTATTATTATTATTAATAATAATAATAATAATAACAATAATAACAATAACAATAATACACTTTATTTATATTACTCCCTTCTCTCTTAGGAGACTCAGAGCGGATTGCTGCATTTAAATACAAAGGCAAAGATTCGATGCCTCTGCAATCATATGCAATGACTTCCTTACTTACTTAGACAATTCCTTGTTGCCCAAGGATGATGGCCTTCCAACTGTATTGTCTTGGCAGTTGGGTCCGTAGGTGGCTGTGGAGCCCTGTTCTTGACCCGTGAGTTCTCCGGCAGTGAGGACATTAGTTTCCAGGTGGAAGGCAGTCCCAGTCAGGGTTGGCTTAAAGCACCTTCCTCTTGGCGCGTTTGTCCCTCTCACCCTCCACTCGTGCCTCTTCAGATTCTGCAGCACTGCTGGTCACAGCTGACCTCCAGTTAAAGTGCTCAAGGGCCAGGGCTTCCCACTTCTTGGTGTCTATACCACAGTTTTTAAGGTTGGCTTTCAGCCCATCTTTCAATCTCTTTTCCTGTCCACCAACATTATGTTTCCCATTCTTGAGTTGGGAGTAGAGTAACTGCTTTGGGAGATGGTGAGCAGGCAATCGGACAATGTGGTCAGTCCAGCAGAGTTGATGGCGGAGGACCATCGCTTCAATGCTGGTGGCCTTTGCTTCTTCCAGCATGCTGACATTTGTCCGCCTGTCTTCTAAAGAGATTTGCAGGATTTTTCGGAGGCAATGCTGATGGAATCATTCTAGGAGTTGCGTGTGACGTCTGTAGACAGTCCACGTTTCGCAGGCGTATAGCAGGGTTGAGGGGACAGTAGCTTTCTAAACAAGCCCCTTGGTCTCCCTACGGATGTCCTGATCCTCAAACACTCTCTGCTTCATTTGGAAAAATGCTGCACTCTCAGAGCTCAGGCAGTGTTGTATTTCAGTGTCAATGTTGACTTTTGCGGAGAGGTGGCTGCCAAGGGAGCAGAAATGGTCAACATTTTTCTAACGTTACATCATTAAGCTGTATTTCTGGAATTGCAGAGGGCTTGGCTGGTGACTGCTGGAAGAGCACTTTGCTTTTCTCAGTGTTCAATGAGAGGCCTTAATAATAATAATAATAATAATAATAATAATAATAACCCCTCACCTCTCTTAATGCATCTTGACACCATTTTAATTGCCATGGTCAATATTATGAAATCGGAGTTCTACAATTATTATTTTGTTAATTATACCCTGCTTTTAGTCTCCACAAAGAGATTCAAAGCAGCCACAAGGTCCTTTACCCTTCTCCACCAAGTATTTCTGGTTCTATCCCAAACTACAACTCCCAGGATCCCATAGCATTGAGCTGTTGCAGTTCAAGTGGTGCCAAAGAGTGCTCGTTCAACAGTGTAGTCACACCCTTAATTTATGAAAGCTTATGTTAGCAGATTCTTTTTTGTCTCAGGGTGCATCTACACTAGGCATAGGCAAACCAAGAACCTATATTTCTTAGGTGATTCATGTTTACTTTTATTTGTAACGCGTGATACTTAGGAATTCTCATATTTTCCTATATCTTTTGCATGTGCCAGTTAACAGTATACATCTAGAATGGCACTCGTCCTGTTTTTAAGTGGTTGTCAGACTGTAGGATCTAAATAGCAATACTAAATAACCACTCACAAGCAGGCTTGCTTTGAAATTGATATATTGCTTGTATCTCCGCAATCAAGATTGATGATGATAGTGTTCAATGTATTGTCGAAGTCTTTCATGGCCGGAATCACTGGGTTGTTGTAGGTTTTTGGCCATGTTCTAGAGGCATTCTCTCTTGACGTTTCGCCTGCATCTATGGCAAGCATCCTCAGAGGTAGTAAGGTCTGTTGGAACTAGGAAAATGGGTTTATATATATGTGGAATGACCGACAAAGGACTCTTGTCTGCTGGAGCTAGGTGTGAATGTTTCAACTGACCACCTTGATTGACATTTGATGGTCTGGCTGTTGTTTGGTGTGGCTTGTTCGTGCCTAGAGCAAGGTTGGACTAGATGACCTTTAGGGGTATCTTCCAACTCTGTGGTTCTATGATATGTGTTAGTAGAATTGTTACCCCCCGCCATCTTTTTCCATTCACTTTTTAATCTCTCTGGCTGCAATCCTGAGCAGCTATATCAGGCATGCTGCCTAAGGGTGTTAGGAATGGTGGGAGTTGAAGTCCAAAACACCTGGAGGGCCCAAGTTTGCCCATGCCTGATTTATCACAGAGATAAACAAATATTTGTAGTTTGTTGAAGCACAGTTACTCCTAATCTACTAGAAGCCAAGCCATGCTGGATCCGTCTGCAGGTGGATCAGCAATGTTAGAGGTGACTTCCCCAACCTTGGTGCCCTCAATATGGAGGAGAAGTCCCATTATCCCCACTATGATAGGACTTGTAGTCCAGTGCATCTCCAGAATGTTAACTTGAGGAAGGTTGCACCAGATTGTTATACACAGAGGTGTTTGCATGCACTATGCTGATTGCATCCCTGCTCACTGAGCCTTTCTTTGCTTTGTCCCTTCAAGGGCTGAGAACTACTGGTGGCGGGGCCAGAATAAGCGGACCTTGAAGGTGGGCCAGTTCCCGCGCAACACGGTGACCTCGGTGGCGGGGCTCTCCGCGCACGACATCAGCCAGCCGCTCAAGAACAGCTTCATCCACACGGGACATGGAGACACCAACCCCCAGCAGTGCTGGGGCTTCCCCGATAAGATTGACGAGTAAGTCCTCGCGGAGCGCTTTCCCTTCCCTTCGCTCATGCGCAACTCAGGCGCAAAGGGCTCTTTTGGATTCAAAGACAATGAGCACACAAAGGGTTAGGAGTACAGGCAGCCCACCAACGTTGGAATTGAACCAAACTTGGCACACAGTTCTTCCATGACCAACAGAAACTATTGGAAGGGTTCAGTGGGCATTGACCTTGAGTTTTGGAGTTGTAGTTCACCTACATCCAGAGATCACTGTGGACTCAAACAATGATGGATCTGGACCAAACTCTACGCGAATACTCAATATGCCCAAATGTGAACACTGGTGGAGTTTGGAGAAAATAGACCTTGACATTTGGGAGTTGTAGTTGCTGGGATTTATAGTTCACCTACAATCAAAGAGAATTCTGAACCCCATGAACGATAAAATTGGGCCAAAGACCTCCAATGACCAACAGAAATATATTGGAAGGGTTTGGTGGGCACTGACCTTGAGTTTGGGAGTTGTAGTTCACATACATCCAGAGAGCACTGTGGACTCAAACAATGATGGATCTGGACCAAACTTACACGAATACTCAATATGCCCAAATGTGAACACTGGTGGAGTTTGGGGAAAATAGAATCTTGACATTTGGGAGTTGTAGTTGCTGGGATTTATAGTTCACCTACAATCACTGAGCATTCTGAACCCCACCAATGATAGAATTGGGCCAAACCTCCATGTGGGCCACAGCAATGCGTGGCAGGGGACGACTAGTCATGAATATGCCTGTAGTTGCGCTACTCAAAACATTAGACAAGTAGACACTGGCCAGGCTGTAAACAAACCAATGGGGCAAATGATGGTCAACCTTGATAATCAGGGGCAATCTCCCAAATCCAAGGCATCCTGCATTCAGAGGCCAGTGTTTACATTAATATCATTAAATTTGACTGTAAGAGATATATGTGTATGTATGTGGGTTGTTGTAGGTTTTTCGGGCTGTATGGCCATGTTCTAGAAGCATTCTCTCCTGACATTTCACCAGCATCTGTGGCAAGCATCCTCAGAGGTTGTGAGGATGCCTGCCACAGATGCAGGTGAAACGTTAGGAGAGAATGCTTCTGGAACATGGCCATACAATCCGGAAAACTCACAACAACCCAGTGATTCTGGCCATAAAAGCCTTTGACAATACATTGTGTATATATGTGTTTGTATATATTGTATATATGTGTTTGTATATATTGTATATACGCATATACAATATATACACACAACATATATAGACAGAGACACATAGGCTATTTAACTTTCCAGCTTCATGAGGGTATGCTTTTTTGAATTCTGGCCACCAAGGCCACCATCCACTTGTGACACCGATGGAGTACTTCCTCATTCTTTTGCACACTGCTGGAGAGTTTTTATGGCGTTGTAAATTAGTTAAATTAGCCTCCCCGCATAAGTGGTACCTAAATTTCCTACTTGACAGATGCAACTGTCTTTCAGGCTGCAAAGGTTGACAGCAAGCTAGACAAATGACCGGAAGCTCACTTCTTCAAACTCATGACCTCTGTCAGTAGTGATTTTAATGCAGCTGACTCCCAACCAGCTGTGCCACAACATACACACATGCATACATATAAGCACACATATGCATATATATACATTTACATACATACACATACATATAGAAAAAATAGAGCTTAAAGATGCTTTTAACTCTTAAGGTCTTTCAGAGGAATGGACAGGCCATACTCTCTCCTTGATATACAATAGTCTTCCACGTTATTGCCACTAGATCTTGTGCCCATCGAATTGGAAATCTTGCCATTCAAGATTTGGGTTTTCTAACTTTTTGCAACTCTTTGGGTTCATCTTCTACACTGTAGAATGAATGCAGTTTAACCCCACTTTGGTTGCTGTAACTCAGTGCTGTGGAGTCCTGGGAATTGTAGTTTGGAGAGGCATCGGCACTCTTCTGCAGGGAAGGCAAAAGGCCTGGTCAAACTACAGCTCATAGCCTTGAGACATTGCAGTTAAAGTGGGCTCAAACTGCAGTCCTTCTGCAGTGCAGATGCACCCCTTATCCCATTGCATGTTTGCAAACAGTGCCTGTGTCCTGAACAAGCTCCTTGGTCCAATGTGTTTTTTATCAGCTGGCATCTCTCTTTCCGTGTGGGCGGCTGCGCATGTACAGGCCATGTGAGGCCGATGTTTCCGTGCTGCACATGAGGTGCGTCAGTGCCGCCTTTGCCCTGTGTGCGAATGACCACGCCTTCCCCGACTTCTCCCTGTTTCTTATGGAGCTTCAAACCAGACTCTCCAGTGGAAACACCCCGCAACTGAGCCGCCTTGAGCCCCTTTGGAAAGAGATAGCAATATAATAATAACTAGCGTGTTTGCCTGGCGTTACCTGAGTGTCAGAGGGGCGGATTCTCCCCTATACCTTTCTCTTCCTTCATTCATTCCCTCCTTTTTCTCTGTCCCATCCCAATGGCTTCTCTGTGGAGTCTGACATAGTCGTTGTTAGAGTTGTGTGAAGTCCAACATATGAGGGTTGGTAAATGTGTATAAACAGAACAAGCAGAAGCTTTACCACAGTATTTAAACCAAGATATATCCTGCTGTATAATAAAAATGTCACTCAGGCTTGTGAAACAAATAGCAGTATCTTTACTTGAGTTCAAAAGTTCAAACATAATAACAATATATACATCGGTCTCTTTTAATACAAGGAGAGATAAGAGGAATAAAATTGTTGTTTATTCGTTCAGTCGCTTCCAACTCTTCGTGACCTCATGGTCCAGCCTACGCCAGAGCTCCCTGTTGGCTGTCACCACCCCCATCTCCTTCAGGGTCAAGCTTGTCACTTCAAGGATACCATCTATCCATCTTGCCCTTGGTCGGCCCCTCTTCCTTTTTCCTTCCATTTTCCCCAGCATCATTGTCTTCACTAAGCTTTCCTTTTTAAATAGTCTTTGAAATAAGCCTCGTGTCTTAAAATGATCAGTCCTTAAGATAGTTGGCAGCCAGCAATATCTATTCACTGCCCAAAGTGAGAACAAAAGGCAGAATGACAGTTAGAACCGTTGTCCTCAGCAGCTAGCAAGAGGCAGCAGCCAATCAGAACCCTGGCCCCTGGCACACTCAGCCAATTGGCTGCTGACACATCTCTCTCCAGTTAACCCACTATATAATGGCATCCTTTTTCAAATCCTTGTCTAAAGGTACACATGTTTGGAAGAGAAGTTTGGAGGAATATATAGATGTGTATGGATCCCCCAAAGTGAAAACAAAAGGCAGAATGACAGTTAGAACCATTGGCCTAAAGTGCTGAGCTAAAGCACTGAGTGGGCTAAAGCGCTGAGCTGCTGAACTTGCTGATCGAAAGGTCGCAGGTTCGAATAGTAAATGGTGTGAGCTCCCACTGTTCGCCCCAGCTTCTGCCAACCTAGCAGTTCGAAAGCACGCAAATGTGAGTAGATCAATAGGTACTGCTCCGGCGGGAAGGTAACAGCGCTCTATGCAGTCATGCCAGCCACATGACCTTGGAGGTGTCTATGGACACTATAGACGATTTCTTTGGCTTAGACATGGAGATGAGCACCAACCCCCAGAGGTGGACATGACTGGACTTAATGTCAGGGGAAACCTTTACCTTTACCTTGTAGAAGTGTTTCACGATTTTCACGTTTCTTTCTCATTGCAGGCTGTACCTGGGAAATCCCATGGACCCTCCAGATGTGCTAGGAGTGGACTTGAACGCAGCCAGACCCACCCAGCTCCCAGGAAGGACAAGAAGTAAGGCCACGCCTTGACCATCTGCTTCTACACTGCAGAAATAACACAGTTTGACACCACTTCAGCTCAAAGCTATGGGGACATGGGTGTTGTAGTTTCACAAGATCTTTGGTGGTACCTCACCGAACTCCCAGCTACCAGGATGCTATAGCATTGAGCCACCGCATTTAAAGTGGAGTCAAAGTGCATTAATTCCACAATGTAGGCGCACCCCTTAGTTCCAGCTGGTGCCTTCACAGACAGCAGAACAATATGTACACACTACGGGTAATGTATTGTCGAAGGCTTTCATGGCCGGAATCACTGGGTTGTTGTAGGTTTTTTCGGGCTATATGGTAGTAAGCTCCTTACTACCCTCAGAGGTAGTAAGGAGCTTCAAACCAGTGAGGAGCTTCACTACCTCTGAGGATGCTTGCCGTAGATGCAGGCAAAATGTCAGGAGAGAATGCCTCTAGACCAGTGGTTCTCAACCTTCCTAATTCCGCGACCCCTTAATACAGTTCATCATGTTGTGGTGACCCCCAACCCTAAAATTATTTTCGTTGCTACTTCATAACTGGAATGTTGCTGCTGTTATGAATCGACATGTAAATATCTGATAGGCAAGATGTATTTTCATTCTCTGGACCTTGGGAGTTGTAGTTGGCTGGGATTTATAGTTCACCTACAATCAAAGAGCATTCCGAACTCCACCAGAAATTGAATTGACCCATACTTGGCACACAGAATGCCCATGACTAGCAAAGAATAATGAAAGGGATAGGTAAGCATTGGCCTTGAGCTTGGGAGCTGTAGTTCACCTATCTCCAGAAAGCACTGTGGACTCAAACAATGATTGATCTAGACTAAACTTGGCACGAATACTCAATATGCCCAAATGTGAACACTGGTGGAGTTTGGGGAAAATAGACCTTGACATTTGGAAGTTGTAGTTGCTGGGATTTATAGTTCACCTACAATCAGAGAGCATTCTGAACCCCACCAACGATAGAATTGGGCCAGACTTCCCACACAAAACTCCCATGACTAGCAGAAAATACTGTGTATCCTGATGGTCTTTGGCGACCTCTCCGACACCCCCTCGTGATCCCCCCCCAGGGGTCCCGAACTCTTGTCTGTTGAAGCTAGGTGTGAATGTTTCAACTGACCACCTTGATTAGCATTTAATGGCTTGGAAGTTGAAACATTCACACCTAGCTCCAGCAGACAAAAGTCCTTTGTCCCACCCTGGTCATTCCACAGATATATAAACCCTTTTTCCTATTTCCAACAGACCTCACTACCTCTGAGGATGCTTGCCATAGATGCAGGTGAAATGTCAGGAGATAATGCCTCTAGAACATGGCCATATAGCCCAGAGAAACCTACAACATCCCAGTGATTCCGGCCCTGAAAGCCTTCGACAATACAAATAAACATTAATTATCACAAACATATAGCCATTTCCATTATTAACACAATCATATGGTCCAGTTCAGTGTCCAAAGTGCTGTCATGCCTGCTAGCCAAAGGCCTGGTTCCAAAACTATGATGACCTGATCTCTCTGGGGAGCAAATTCCACAAGGGGGGGGGTCACCACTAAGAAGGCCCTGTCCCTCATCCCCACCAGACGCGTTTGTGATGCTGGTGGGACCGAGAGCAGGGCCTCCCCGGTAGATCTTTGCTGCAGAGATACAAGCAATATATCCATTTCAAAGCAAGCTGGCTTGTGAGTGGTTATTTACTATTGCTATTTAGATCCTACGAGGTAGAACATAGAGAGAGATATGTTCGGACAAGCTGGGCTGGAGCCGTATAGGGCTTTATTGGCCAAGAACAGCACTTTGAATTGTGCTCGGAAATGGACTGTCAGCCAGTGTTGACATAGCAGGGGGGTAGTACGCTCCCTGTATGGCGCTCTGGTGAGTAACCTGGCTGCCACCCATTGGACTAGTTGGAGTTTCCGAACAGTCTTCAAAGGCAACCCCACGTAGAGTGTGTTGCAGTAATCTATTCAGGATGCAACCCAAATAGTTTCCCTTTCCTACAATACACAGAATCCCCTCCTATTCAGCAGAACCCATAATCCCCACATTTAAAAGCATCACAGCTTCCTGGAAGGTAATGTTTCCTATTCAAGTCTCTGCCCTTTGCATGGTGCTGCTGAACTAATATTCTGCTCTTTCTCTCTCTGTCTCTCTCTTTCTTTCCTTCCTTCTTTCTCTGTGCCTTTCCTCCTCTCTCCTTCGGTGGGGTGTCTCCGCTGGGCCCTTCCCTGCAGGGGAGCCTCCTCCTCGGCCGCCTCAGCCTTCGATCTTCCTAAAGAGTAAGTGGGGCCGCTTCCCGGGCCGCCGGCCCCCCTGTGCCTGCCCCCTCTGCTCTCTCTTAGCTCCTCTCTTCACAGGTATCATCAGGCTGTGTGCAAGTGCATGTGCGCCTGCGGTGTGGACAGCTTGCATTGCAACCACCCACGTGCAAGAGTGTGATACAGCAGGGAGGTGGTGATCGGGTATTCAGACAATGTGATCAGTCCAGCGGAGTTGATGGTGGAGGACCATCGCTTCAGTGCTGGTGGTCTTTGCTTCTTCCAGCATGCTGACATTTGTCTACTTGTCTTCCCAAGAGATTTGCAGGATTTTTGGGAGGCAATGCTAATGGAATCGTTCCAGGAGTTGCATGTGACGTGTGTAGATAGTCCACAATTCGCAGGCATATAGCACGGTTAGGAGCCCCTGGTGGCGCAGTGGGTTAAAGCGTTGAGCTGCTGAGCTTGTTGACTGAAAGGTCGCAGGTTCGATTCTGGGGAGCGGTGTGAGCTCCCGCTGTTATCCCCAGCTTCTGTCAACCTAGCAGTTCAAAAGCATGCAAATGTGAGTAGATCAATAGATACCACTCCGGCGGGAAGGTAACGGCACTCCATGCAGTTATGCCAGCCACAAGACCTTGGAGGTGTCTAAGGACAATGCCGGCTCTTCGGCTTAGAAATGGAGATGAGCAGCACACCCCAGAGTCAGACATGACTGGACTTAATGTCAGGGGACAACCTTTACCTTTACCTATAGCAGGGTTAGGAGGACAATAGCTTAAGCACTTTGGTCTCCCTACGGATGTCCTGGTCCAGAAACACTCTGTGCTTCATCCAGAAAAAAGCTGCACTTGCAGAGCTCAGGCGGTGTTGTATTTCAGTGTCAATGTTGACTTTTGTGGAGAGGTGGCTGCCAAAGGAGCGGACATGGTCAACATTTCCTAACGTTACACCATTAAGCTGTATCGCTGGCATTGGAGAGGGATTGGCTGGTGATTCCTGGAAGAGCACTTTGGTTTTCTCGATGTTCAGTGGCAGGCCGAGCTTCTCGTATGCTTCTGCAAAGGTGTTTAGAGTGGCTTGTAGATCTTCTTCTGAATGCACTTCAGTCAGAAGGAGTCTGGATGCATTCAGGAGGAGCTGCATCCATAGGAGTCTATTGTCAAGACCAGGCATGGGCAAACTTTGGCCCCTGCAATCCCTTTCAATGCTAGGACCTCTGAGTAGGAGAGGAGCCCATCTTTTCTGGTTCTCTGCTGCTCTCTGGTGGAGAAAGGCATTTGTCAACAAAGTTATAGTTAAGATAATAGGTGAGGAATAGGGTTGGACTCCAAGCGAGGATGTGTTTGCAAAGCATGCACTAATCTTGCCAAGAAAAACACCAGAGACGTGTGTTTCTGGGGAAAAGGTGAGGTAGAGCGCATGGCTTGTGTGTTGGGGTGTGTGTAAACATGTGTGTGTTCAATGCATGGATTGTGGAACCAGCCAAGTCCCAAGTCCAGATGAGATTTCTTGGTAGCCTCCCTGCTACCTTTACCTTCCTATCTCTCCATTTCTGCTTGTGAAATCTTGTGGATTGGATATGGTGAGTTGGGAGCCTGCTTAGGGCCAAGTCTGGTCAGTCTGGCCTTCTGAGCTTCCCCAGACGTCCAATCAGTTGCACCTTTTTTCAAGATAGCTGACCATTAATGCTTCCCAGCCAGCCAACCAATTATTCTAGTTTCATATATATGGCCCAGGAGTAAAGGACCACAATGATCCGAGGCTGGATTTGGTCCTTTTCAGGTGGTACTTGGTGCATCTCAGAAAGTCCCAAAAGATGAAGGTGTTGTAGATTTTGTACCACCCTCTAGTCTATTAAATGTCCCTTGACCAGTAGCTGGCCACTTGGAGTGCCTCTGGTGTTGATATAAGAAGATCCTCCATTGTGCATGTGGCAGGGTTCAGGTTGCATTGTAGTACGTGGTCAGTGGTTTGCTCTTCTCCACAGTCGCATGTCGTGGACTCCACTTTGTGGCCCCATTTCTTAAGGTTGGCTCTGCATCTTGTGATGCCAGAACACAGTCTGTTCATGGCCTTCCAAGTCACCCAGTTTTCTGTGTGCCCAGGGGGGAGTCTCTCATTTGGTATCAGCCATTGGTTGAGGTTTCAGGTTTGAGCCTGCCACTTTTGGACTCTTGCTTGCTGAGGTGTTCCAGCAAGTAGATCTTAGAAAACTATTTCTTGTTTTGAGTCATTGGCATGCTGGCTGATATCCAAACAGAGGATGGGCCAGAGATGTCACTGCCTTGGTCCTTTCACTATGGGTTGCTACTACCCGGCGGATGTCAGGTGGTGCAATACCGGCTAAACAGTGTGTCTCTGTAGATCTTAGAAAACTATTTCTTGATTTAAGTCATTGGCGTACTGGCTGATATCCAAACAGAGGATGAGCTGGAGATGTCACTGCCTTGGTCCTTTCACTATGGGTTGCTACTACTCGGCGGATGTCAGGTGGTGCAATACCAGATAAACAGTGTGTCTCTGTAGATCTTAGAAAACTATTTCTTGATTTAAGTCATTGGCGTTCTGGCTGATATCCAAACTGGAGATGGGCTGGAGATGTCACTGCCTTGGTCCTTTCACTGTTGGCTGCTACTTCCTGCCATTGGTTGAGGTTCTGGGTTTGAGCCTGCCACTTTTGGACTCTCGCTTGCTGAGGTGTTCCATCGAGTGTCTCTGTAGATCTTAGAAAACTATTTCTTGATTTAAGTCATTGGCATACTGGCTGATATCCAAACAGAGGATGGGCCAGAGATGTCACTGCCTTGGTCCTTTCACTATTGGTTTCTACTTCCCAGCGGATGCCAGGTGGTGCAATACCAGCTAAACAGTGTGTCTCTGTAGATCTTAGAAAACTATTTCTTGATTTAAGTCATTGGCATACTGGCTGATACCCAAACAGGGGATGAGCTGGAGATGTCTCTGCCTTGGTCCTTTCACTATTGGCTGCTACTTCCCGGCGGATGTCAGGTGGTGCAATACTGGCTAAGCAGTGTAATTTCTCCAGTGGTGTAGGGTGCAGACACCCCATGATAATGCTGCACATCCACTGTTTTTGCGTGGTGAGATGTGTTCCACACTGGGCATGCATACTCAGCAGAAATGTGCTGGCATCCTTCTCTATATATTTTTTTTTTGACTTGTCCACTGTTAGATCATGACCCTAAGAATCTCTCAGATGTTGAATCTGCCCTAGAGAGCATTTACATATGGATTCTATTTTCCATCTCAGAGCCTGACCTGGTTCCTTTGCTTTCCAGAACCGACCTACGATCCTGTGAGCGAGGAGGACAACCCGCTCTCGGCAGGGCTCAAGCACCTCTGCCTGAAGAAGAAGCCGGGCCCGCCGCGAGGTCTCCGTCCCCCCAAGCCCTCGGCCTGCGTCTCGGGAACCAGGGCGGGCGAGAGGCTCCTCCTGCCCCGTACCAAGGGAGGAACCCAACCTGGTAACGAAGTGACACTGATAGACTTTGAGGACGAGCCCGTCCCCACCACCCCTTCGCCCATTGGGGAGCTCTGCGCCCCGTCTCTTGCCAAGCTGGCCATGGAGGCGTTCTCCTTGTTGGACAAGACACCCCCGCAGAGCCCCACGCAAGGACTACCGCGACCCCTTCACCCCACTCCGATCGTGGACTGGGATGCCCGCCCTTTGCCTCCGCCACCCACTTACGACGACGTTGCCCAAGACGAGGATGACTTCGAGGTGTGCTCCATCAACAGCGCAGACGGTTTGGTCAGGCGGAGGAGCAGACGCAAAAGCTGGGAGAACGGGGAGACCAATGGCGGCTTTGTGCCGGAGGGAGAGCGGGCGTCCCTCCCGTTAGACGACAACCTCTTCTTGCCGCCAAAGGAAACCAAGCAACCCAGCCCCGCTCAGACTACGGAGATCTTCCAAGAGCTGCAGCACGAGTGCATGAGGCACCTCAACGTCCCATTGGGGGCCAACTCTGTGGCCTCCACTCCCAGTCCTGGAGAGGACAAGCCGCAGATCCCCCCTCGCGTCCCTATCCTGCCCCGACCGCTCCGCAAGAACGAACTCGGACGCTGGTCCGGGGAGCTCTCGCCGGCCTCCGGGGGCGAGGAGGATCGCCCGCCCCAGATCCCCCCACGAGACCCTTTGTCCCARCCAAGTTCGAGGACCCCCAGTCCCCGGGCCCTGCAAGGCGGGTCCCCGCAACCACGAGCCAACCTCTGCTCCCCGCTCTGCTCCCTGGGCTCCTTCCTRTCCACGTCGCCAGGGAAGCAGCCCATGCCCACCACGCAGAGCTTCGCTTTGGACCCCAAGTACGCCACGCCGAARGTGATCCAGGCCCAAGGGAAGGAGTGCTCCAAAGGGCCGTGCATCTTGCCTATCGTCAAGGATGGGCGGAAGGTCAGCAACACCCACTACTACCTGCTCCCGGAGCGGCCCCCTTACCTGGACAAGTACGAGAAGTTCTTCAAGGAGGCCAAGACCCCCGAGGAAGCCCCGGCACCCACCAGGGTGGTCACCACCGCCACCGTGCGGCCCATGATCCAGCAACAGCCGGACTGTCGGGGCAACTTCTCGTCCAACAACAGCAACGTCACTTTCAAGGCCACTTGTGGCCTTCAGAAGATAATCTACGATGGCTCTGAGGGCCCTCGTCCTTCAGACAAGATACGGCTGGTGAGTGGGTTTATTGTTATTATTATAACTAGCCGTCCCTGCCACGCATTGCTGTGGCCCGTTCTGTGTATATGTGCTTTGTGTGTGTATAAATGTGTATATATATGTATATATATTTGTGTATATGTGTATATATGTGGTTTTGCATATGCATTGTAATGTATTTTTTTATTATTTGGCTTTTTAAGTCTCTTCCGCTGTGTTTTTCAGTGTTTTTATGAGTGATGGTCAAAGCCAACCTTAAAAACAGTGGCATTGACACCGAGAAGTGGGAAGCCCTGGCCCTTGAGCACTATAGCTGGAGGTCAGCTGTAACCAGCAGTGCTGTAGAATATTTTGGAAACTGTTTTGAGTCCCCCCTGCATTTGGATTAGCGGGCAGAAATTGAAAGTCACATGCAAGCACTAAGCTTTAAGGAACCATCTATATAAATAAAAATGTAATGATTGTTTGTGGGATTAACATAACTCAAAAACCACTGGACGAATTGACGTGAAATTTTGATACAATACACCTAACAGTCCAACGAGTGTTCATCACCCCTAAACACACACACACACACAAAATACCACCCCAGCAGGACAGACTTAAAAACCCCAAAAATACACCATTATTCCTAAAATATAGGAATGTTTTCTGTGTTTCCTCTGGCCAGGTCCAAGAGACGGTGCATGGCGTCACCACGGAAGAATGCCAGGCAGCTTTGCAAAACCATAATTGGAACGTGCAAAAGGCCATCCAGTACCTGAAGGTAAAAACAGAATGGGTGCTTAATGTATTGTTGAAGGGGAATGACCAGGGTGGGACAAAGGACTCTTGTCTGCTGGAGCTAGGTGTGAATTTTCGAAGGCTTTCATGGCCGGAATCACTGGGTTGTTGTAGGTTTTTTCGGGCCATATGGCCATGTTCAAGAGGCATTCTCTCCTGACATTTCGCCTGCATCTATGGCAAGCATCCTCAGAGGTAGTGAGGATGCTTGCCATAGATGCAGGCAAAACATCAGGAGAGAATGCCTCTAGACCATGGCCATATAGCCCGAAAAAACCTACAACAACCCAGTGATTCCGGCCATGAAAACCTTCAACATTAAAAATACAATGATTACTTAAAAGATTGAGGAAAACAGAAATGCATCTCTTAGGGTCCTTCCGTACAGTCATATAACCCAGAACATCAAGGCAGATGTAATGAACGCATACCTTTTCTTTGTAGGCCGCAGCCTGGAAGTCAGTGAGCTGGCCTCCATGTTGGGAAGGCAGCTCAGGATGGCAGACATGATGGTATAGGCAGAGAGGCAAGGGGAGGAGTCAGCTAACTCCTGATTGGTTCAGACCCCAAGGGGAGGAGTTGAAGGAGAGTGTAAATAGGCTGTCATTTCTGACAGAAGGGAGAGAGAAGGATTTGATCTAGCAGAGAAAAGATTAGGATTTCAGACAGGGAGAAGAGAGTTTCTTAGTGAGCTAGGAATTAGCCTGTTAGGGAATAATTAAAGAGCAAGTGCTTCTGTATAGTTTGACTAGGGCAGTCAAAGTGAAGGCTTGTTTACTTGTATTAGGACAGAATACAAGTGGGTTTATTTCCCTAAAGGTCAGAGTAGTCTAGAGGAAACCTAGATACTCTGGAAGACAGCCAGGGGCGGCTGGTCAAAGAAACGCACTGTTAGATATTACAGGATAGTGTGTGGAAAGTAGCTCATGTTAAGGAAAAGTTACTCCTTCTAAAGAAACCATTTGCTTAATAAGTCTGTGCTTCAGAAACAAACTACGCGTATGTACCTCTCAGTAGTCAGTTGTTTGCTTCAAATACTTCAATAAACCTGTTCTCTAGTTTACTGTTAATCTGCCTCAGCCTTGTTTCATCATATAAGGTTAGATCCAGTAAGCCTCCACATCTCTACAGTTCAGTCACCAGAAAGGGAGCCAAAAGGAAGAGCCGGTGTATAGGGACATTTTACCTCAAGTACAACAACAAGACAATTCCGTCCGGTCAGCCTTAGATGAAGGGCTAGATCGCATGATCATCAAGTTTGCAGACGACACCAAATTGGGAGGGATAGCCAATAGTCCAGAGGACAGGAGCAGAATTCAAAACGATCTTGACAGATTAGAGAGATGGGCCAAAACTAACAAAATGAAGTTCAACAGTGACAAATGATATGATTATAAACTGTATTGATTGTAAATGATATTATTATAACTGTATTTGTGTTTACACTGGTTGCCCTAATGCTGGAGCGGCCTAGCTGTGAGGAGTGTGTTACCATGGAAACGATGCTAATGCTGGAGCGGCCTAGCTGTGAGGAGTGTGTTACCATGGAAACAATGCTGTAGAGAAGTGGGAGGAGCTTAGAGAGGGGAGTTTTTGAAAAGCGACAGTTAAAGTCAGTTAGGTTTTATGCTCAGAGGAGTGAAGAGTCATGAAGAGTCAGGGTTGAGGCTCAGAGGAATGAAGAGTTAGGTTTAGGCTCAGGGAAGTGAAGAGTTGAGAGAGAGAGAGAGTGGGAAGTAGAGAAGCAGTGTTTGTGAATAGTCGGAGGTTTCTTCAGTTCGGGAAGGCTGAAGGGGAAACCTTATTAGTTTTATTAGTTAGAGAAGACTAATAGAAGCTCGTTTAGATCACTAGTTAAAAGTGAACTAGAGATCTGAGGTTTGATCACGGAAGGGTCAAACAGGAAGACTATTCACCTCGGGAACCATTGTTTAATAAAGTGCTTCACCCCAGCAAAGGTTATTTATAAGTTGTAACATCAGAAGACTGAACTGTATCGCAACCAAGTTATATGTAACGTTCTCCAAGTATTTTCCAAGTTTATCACCAAACTGCAACCATACGCTTTGTTTCAAAATAAACTTGTTCTCTTTGATTGTAAAACTGCCTCATCTCCATTAATTCTGTGTGTAGTGTGCCCAATCTCCCAAAAATTACCTCACATCACCAAATTGGTGGCACCATTAAGGATAATAAATAATAAATCGTAACTTCTCTCTCCTGAGACCTCCCTTACAGATTAGAGAGATGATGGGCCAAAACTAACAAAATGAAGTTCAACAGGGACAAATGCAAGATACTCCACTTTGGCAGAAAAAAACGAAATGCAAAGATACAGAATGGGGGACAATGCCTGGCTCGAGAGCAGTACGTGTGAAAAAGATCTTGGAGTCCTCGTGGACAACAAGTTAAACATGAGCCAACAATGTGATGTGGCGGCAAAAAAGCCAATGGGATTTTGGCCTGCATCAATAGGAGCATAGTGTCTAGATCTAGGGAAGTAATGCTACCCATGCTCTATTCTGCTTTGGTTAGACCACACCTGGAATATTGTGTCCAATTCTGGGCACCACAATTCAAGAGAGATATTGACAAGCTGGAATGTGTCCAGAGGAGGGCGACTAAAATGATCAAGGGTCTGGAGAACAATGAGGAGCGGCTTGGGGAGCTGGGCATGTTTAGCCTGAGGAAGAGAAGGCTGAGAGGAGATATGATAGCCATGTATAAATATGTGAGAGGAAGCCACAGGGAGGAGGGAGCAAGCTTGTTTTCTGCTTCCTTGGAGACTAGGACGCGGAACAATGGCTTCAAACTACAAGAGAGGAGATTCCATCTGAACATGAGGAAGAACTTCCTGACTGTGAGAGCCGTTCAGCAGTGGAACTCTCTGCCCCGGTGTGTGGTGGAGGCTCCTTCTTTGGAAGCTTTTAAACCGAGGCTGGATGGCCATCTGTCAGGGGTGATTTGAATGCAATATTCCTGCTTCTTGGCAGAATGGGGTTGGACTGGATGGCCCATGAGGTCTCTTCCAACTCTTTGATTCTAGGATTCTATGATTCTATGAATTTGAGGTGGTGGCAGCAAACCTACCATTATACACACACCGTTCTCTCTCATCACCTGTAATTCCTCCTTCATCTTGTTACAGCAGATAATCCACAATATCTGCTCTAAACTGGTTTATCTGAATATAAATACTGTAGATAAATAAAATAAATAAATTATCTGAGTCCACACTGCCATATGATCCTGTTCAGTGTAGATTTTGTACAGCTGTGTGGAAGGGGCCTCTGGATTATTTTGTGAAATAATTAGTAAAGAGCACGTTGCAATTTGTCAATACGGTTTTGCTGCTGCGAGATTAATAATAGCAAAATAATGGAAAGGGAGAAAAAGAGTTGCTTCTACAGGACTGGAGAGGAAAATTATTAGACTCTATCCACCTTTGCAAAATAAAAATACTTTTAAAAAAGAGCGCAGCTCCCTGTTGTGAGTGCACCCCGAAATCCTCTCCTCCTCTGATTGGCCTTTGTGTTCCCTTTCCGCGCAGGTGGAGCAGCTCTTCTGCCTGGGGCTCAAGACCCGGCTGGAGTGCCAGAAGGTGCTGGAGATGTTCGACTGGAACCTGGAGCAGGCCAGCTCCCACCTGCTGGACCCCTACAACGCCTTCCGGCTCAAGTAAGATAAATAAATAAATGAAATCTATATAAATAAAAATGTAATGTTCAATGTATTGTCGAAGGCTTAGCTGAGAACACAGAAATGCTGGACCACTCCAACAACCACCATGTCACACTACACAGAGAAGCCATTGAACTCCACAAGAAGCATGTGGACAATTTCAACAGAAAGGAGGAAACCATGAAAAGGAACAAAATCTGGCTACTAGTATTTAAAAACTCTAAAATTACCACAACACAACAACAGAGAGGAAACAAACAAGGACATCTAATCACCTCTCAACAAAAGATTGCTCCAGGCACTGCCAGGCAATCAAATGCTAATCAAGGTGGTCAGTTGAAACATTCACACCTAGCTCCAGCAGACAAGAGTCCTTTGCCCCACCCTGGTCATTCCACAGATATATAAACCCTTTTCCTAGTTCCAACAGACCTCACTACCTCTGAGGATGCTTGCCATAGATGCAGGCGAAACGTCAGGAGAGAATGCCTCTAGAACATGGCCATATGGCCCGAAAAAAATAAAAATGTAATGTTCATTTGTGGGATTAACATAACTCAAAAACCATTGGACGAATTGACACCAAATTTGGACACAAGACACCTAACAACCCAATGTATGTCCTTCACTCAAAAATGATTTTGTCATTTGGGAGTTGTAGTTGCTGGGATTTATAGTTCACCTACAATCAAAGAGCATTCTGAACCCCACCAACGATGGAATTGAACCAGACTTGGCACACAGTTCTCCCATGACCAACAGAAAATACTGGAAGGGTTTGGTGGGCAGTGTCCTTTGGTTTTGGAGTTGTAGTTCACCTACATCCAGAGATCACTGTGGACTCAAACAATGATGGATCTGGACCAAACTCTACACGAATACTCAATATGCCCAAATGTGAACACTGGTGGAGTTTGGGGAAAGTAGAATCTTGACATTTGGTAGTTGTAGTTGCTGGGATTTATAGTTCACCTACAAACAAAGAGCATTCTGAACCCCACCAACAATGGAATTGAACCAAACTTGGCACACAGAACTCCCATGACCAACAGAAAATACTGGAAGGGTTTGGTGGTCATTGACCTTGAGTTTGGAGTTGTAGTTCACCTACATCCAGAGAGCACTGTGGACTCAAACAATGATGGATCTGGACCAAACTCTACACGAATACTCAATATGTCCAAATGTGAACACTGGTGGAGTTTGGGGAAAATAGAATCTTGACATTTGGGAGTTGTAGTTGCTGGGATTTATAGTTCACCTACAATCACAGAGCATTCTGAACCCCACCAATGATAGAATTGGGCCAAAACCCCCATGTGGGCCACAGCAACGCGTGGCAGGGGATGGCTAGTCTATATAAGTAAAAATGTAATGTTCATTTGTGGGATTAACATAATTCAAAAACCACTGGACGAATTGCCACCAAATTTGGACACAAGACACCTTCTAACCCAAGGAGTGACCATCACTCAAAAAATGGATTTTGTCATTTGGGATTTGTAGTTGCTGGGATTTATAGTTCACCTACAGTCAAAGAGCATTCTGAACCTCACCAACGATGGAATTGAACCAAACCCGGCACACAGGACTCCCATGACCAACAGAAAACACTAGAAGGGTTTGGTGGGCATTGCCCTTGAGTTTGAGAGTTGTAGTTTTCCTACATCTAGAGAGCATTGTGTACTCAAACAATGATGGAACTGCACCAAACTTGGTGACCGTCAAGCACAGGTTGCCAGGAAGTAACTTCTAATCAAAGGCTTCTCCTTGGACGAAAATGCTTCATAGCAAAAATGCCCTTTGTCCCCTAGAGAGCATTTAGGAGCAGCCTTACAAGGGAAGTTTATTTATTTATTTATTTATTTATTATTTAAACTTATATGCCGCCACTCCCCTGGGGCTCGGAGCGGCTTACAAGAATGGCTAAAATCTAACAAAATTTAAAAGCAATTTAAAACAATTTAAAAACAACACTATCAAATATCAAAAGCCTGTCGAAACAGGTATGTCTTACATGCCCTGCGGAAAGCTGGTAAGTCCCGCAGGGCACGAACCTCAGGTGGCAGAGCATTCCAGACTGATGGCGCCACTGCTGTGAAGGCTCTGCGTCTGGTTGCCGTTAATAGATCTCCCTATATGTCTGTATCTGCCTACCATAGGACTCATGATCAAGGGTCTGGAGAACAAGCCCTATGAGGAGCGGCTTAAGGAGCTGGGCATGTTTAGCCTGAAGAAGAGAAGGCTGAGAGGAGATACGATAGCCATGTATAAATATGCGAGAGGAAGCCACAGCGAGGAGGGAGCAAGCTTGTTTTCTGCTTCCCTGGAGACTAGGACACAGTGGAACAATGGCTTCAAACTACAAGAGAGGAGATTCCATCTGAACACGAGGAAGAACTTCCTGACTGTGAGAGCCGTTCAGCAGTGGAACTCTCTGCCCCGGAGTGTGGCGGAGGCTCCTTCTTTGGAAGTTTTTAAACAGAGGCTGGATGGCCATCTGTCGGGGGTGCTTTGAATGCAATATTCCTGCTTCTTGGCAGAATGGGGTTGGACTGGATGGCCCATGGGGTCTCTTCCAACTCTTTGATTCTATGATTCAATTGATTTCATCCGTATCTAAGGGTTGGCTTTCCATGGCTTTAACTTGTCAAATGGTTTTCCCCCGCAGGCGATGACCAGCGATGGTCCTTTGAAGCAGAAACGGATGGCTCGCGTGGGGCTTCCACAGTTGGGACTTCTCCAGAAGAGACTCTCCTTCTGGGCCTTTGGACCGGGAGCCGCCTCCAAAGCCGAGCGGGACGGGACCGAGACAAAGCGAGACTGTGGCTGAGGAACGCCACTGTGAAATGCTGGGCCAAACCCAAATGCACCGACCCCCTCCCTCTGCAAACGCCGACAATTGCGCCCCCTTTTTTCCTCCGATGCTGGCAGCTCCGCGTTGGCTTGCACCCCCTTTCCCCCCCCCCCTCAGCTTCCCACCTTTGCGCCCTGTTGCTTGCTGTTGGATTTATTTTGTAAAGAGAAGTGTTACATTAATATATAAATATTCTATTCTATTTTGGAGAGAACTGAGTCCTTGTCTAATACAAATTCGTGATGGGATGGACCCTGGTGGAGGTGGTGGTGGGTTTGGGGAGGATTTCAGTGTCGGAAGAACTATTTTAGTAGTTGCCTGCCAGAAAAGCTGTGAATGTTGTGACTGGGCACCAAAGATTGTCTCACACAGCAGTTTTAAGGGTTAACAAAAAGGTCTTTAATGAGTCTCTAGTAGGTTACTAGCACTTGAGCAGCAGTGCTATTTAACAAAACAAAAGGCCTTCTGGCAAGTAAACAAAGGAGGGAGCTAAGCCGGATTATCCCAGGACTCAGAATCAGGGAAAAGGAAAGCAGGAGCAAACGCTGGCGTTGATAAGCACGGAGTCAAAACAGTCCTTGGTCATACACAGGCAAGAGCAGTAACAAAGTCCAGAAAGCAGTTGCGTGGTCCAGGAACATTTCCAAAGTCAGGGACAAGGAGAAGTCACTTACGTAGTCCAATCTGAAGTCAAGGCACAAGAAGACAAAATAACTGGAAACCTAGGACCCAGACAGAGGTTAGGCAGCACAAAGACCGGATACAACGCTTTGTCCTCTGCAAAGCTACATGTCCCAGAGCTCCCATTTTTATTAGCAGTCATCATCACTTGATTGGCTATCATCACTATCACCTGGGTCATCTCTCCCACCTGCTGGCTCGTTACCTTGCCAGTGCTGCCATCATTGATCAGAATCCTGCCAAGATGTACCTTCCTGCCATGTACTTTGGAATCCCTCGAACTCCTCACTGGACGTGGGTTGATTACATATGTCCTGAATTTCCCTAACCCGAGTCCAGTCTAATTCCTCCTCCATCTCCTCATTGCTGGCTTCTAGTTCATCTGCACTGGAATTGTCCGCTGTATTTTTAATCCTTTTACTCAGCATTTCCTCATCACTATCAGATTCATTGGCAGCCCGCTTTACTCCCCGGTAATCCCCTTTTTCCAGATCCTGGGGTGTAAACCCTGCAAAATCCTCCCTGTCGCTAGGCGCTAAGAATACATCTCGAATACGCTCCAGCTGACGCTGATCCAGCTCTGACTCAGCATTACTCCTCTTTTCGTTACAACTGGTTGCAGCTTCGCTGCCAAGACGCTGAGCCACAACAATGAATATTCTAATATTGGCTGGAATCCATCATCAAAGTTGCAAATGAGTAACCTTGTTGCACTCCAGAACAGGAATAACGCTCTGACTTTAAAACACCACACATTGCTCAGAACAACATCACGCACCAAGGCTGTAGGTTTTATAGTTGATTGAAGAAAAAGCAAAATCATAAACATAGAAATAAAGTTGCAAAAGTTCAATAGCCAAATCAGAGTTTTAAATACAAAGGCAGAGTTTCCAAGGTCCAAAGGCAAATAACATGAAGTATAATCCACAAGCATGGGTCAAACAAGAATCCGTGGCAGCGTGACAATGTTCCCAGAAGCCAAGATCAAAACCAAAGTCCCAAAGAGCCAAACGCTTTTCCCAAAAGCCGAGGCAATTCCAGAGAAGTTAACAGGGTGTAAGCAAAGTTGCACTGACAAAGAGTTGACTTCAATCAGATCATTAAATATGCTCTCCTATTATTATTATTATTATTATTATTATTATTATTATTATTATATTATTGAATCCATGGCAGCATGACAAAGTTCCCAGAAGCCAAGATCAAAACCAAAGTCCCAAAGAGCCAAACGCTTTCCCCAAAAGCCGAGGCAATTCCAGAGAAGTTAATAGGGTATAAGCAGAGTTGCACTGACAAAGGTTGACTTCAATCAGATCATTAAATATGCTCTCCTATTATTATTATTATTATTAACTTTATTTGTACCCCGCTAGCATTTCCCGAAGGACTCGATGCGGCTTACAAAGGCCAAGGCCTCAAACAAAACAATAGCATAAAAAATACAATTCAAAGCAAATCAAAAACATTGAAGCAATAACAGTAAAATAACAAAACAATACACCATGACACCTTAAAACAGGGCCAGGCCAAAGTAACGGGTACAGATTAAAAGTGCTGGGTGTGACAGGTGGTCTATCAGATTTCAAGGAAGTGCAATGTGCAGAGAATCTTAAAATTCTGATAAAGTGCTTCTGGGACTAATAAAGTACTTACTGGAGTTTCCTATTCTGGAAAGGCACATCGGAACAGCCAGGTCTTCAAATTCTTCCTAAAGACTGCCAACGTGGGGGGCCTATCTGATGTCTTTGGGGAGGGTGTTCCAAAGTCGGGGGGCCACCATAGAGAAGGCCCTGTCCCTCATCCCCACTAAATGCATCTGCGATGAAGGTGGGATCGTGAGCAGGGCCTCTCCGGATGAACGAAGAGAGCGAGTGGGTTCATAAACGGAGATACGGTCACGCAGGTAGGCAGGTCCCAAACCGTTTAGGGCTTTGTAGGTAAGCACCTGCACCTTGAATTGGGCTTGGAAAATAGATGGCAGCCAGTGGAGCTCCTTAAAGAGGAGGGTTGACCTCTCTCTGTAAGGGGCCCCAGTTAACATCCTGGCCGCCGCCCGTTGGACTAGTTGGAATTTTCGAGCCATTTTCAAGGGCAGCCCTACGTAGAGTGCATTACAGTAGTCCAGTCTAGAGGTGACCAAGGTATGGACCACCCCGGCCAGATCAGCCTTTGCGAGGTACAATCGCAGCTGGTGCACAAATCTCAATTGCGCAAAGGCCCTCCCAGATACCACCGACGCCTGAGCCTCAAGCATTACGTTGGCCTCGAACTTCCCGTTTGTTAGCAAGCCGAGCACTTCGGCGTACCCTTAATTGCAAATGGCCATCCCTAACGAAATCCCCATCACCTTCAAGGCCTAATAACTCATTATCCTGGGACTGGTCAGCCTGGAAATCGACAGGCACTGAGCTCACAGATGGAACCTGCCGCTGTGAAGTTTCACTCAAATCACGACCATCTTCTAAAACATGGGTCCTCAAACTTTTTAAACCGGGGGCCAGTTCACTGTCCCTCAGACCGTTGGAGGGCCGGACTATAGTTTTTTTAAAAAAAATCAATAAAAAAATTCCTATGCACTCTGCACATATCTGATTTTGCTGTGTGGAAGGGCCCTTAGAGGGAGGGGGTTCTTTCTAGCCCCCTTTAGGCAGTAATTCCAGGAGCAGAGAATGGGAAATCTTCCTATTTCTAGTCTGAACAAAATCTGGCTACCAGTATTAAAAAAAACTCTAAAATTATAACTGTAAATAAAGAACAACACTCAAACACAGGGGAACTCCAGACAAGAAACAATCAGGGCCAGCTAATCACCTCTCCCTAAAAACTGTCAGGCTATGAAATGGTAATCAAGGTGGCCAATTGAAACATTAATACCTACCTCCAACAGACAAGAGTTCTTTCTCCCACCCTGGATCTTCCACAATTTTCCTAGTTAAAGGTTTTCCTCTGACATGAAGTCCAGTCGTGTCTGACTCTGGGGTGTGGTGCTCACCTGCATTTCTAAGCTGAAGAGCCAGCGTTGTCCGTAGACACCTCTAAGGTCATGTGGCCGGCATGACTGCATGGAGCACCGGGCCAGCCTCCCCGATGGGCAGTGTGAGCCTGCCAAGGGAGGAGCAGCACCGCGCATCCTACTCGCGCGTAAAGCACCTCGCGAGGTGCTTTACGCGAGTAGGCCGTGCGGAGCAGCTGCCCTTGGCTGGCTCACGCTGCCCATTGGGCCCAATGAGCGCGAGCCTGCCAAGGGAGGAGCAGCACCCGCATGGCCTACTCTCGCATAAAGCACTCACGAGGTGCTTTACAGGCGAGTAGGCTGCGCAGAGCAGCTGCCCTTGGCTGGCTCACGCTGCCCATCGGGCCTGACGGATAGCGTGAGCCAGCCAAGGGAGGGGCACTGTGTGGGGGGGCGCTCCTCCTCCGCAGGCCGGATAAGTGCCCTTGGTGGGCCGGAAGTGGCCCGCAGGCCATAGTTTGGGGATCCCTGTTCTAAAACATTTCTTTCTGTGGAAACGCTGTCTCATCTTCAGTATCAACACTGTCTGCATCAACAACAGGGACATGTTCAGAAACCTGTAACCCATCGTCCTCCTCGTCCTGAGGAAACTGAGGCTCCGACTGAGCCACAACAAGTGAAAACAGCCAGGTAAAAATATGCTTTAAGAAAATAGATGAGTCCAATAAGGTAAGAAGATAAGCAGGAATAAAATATTCCAAGGTTCAGCAAAGTTCAGCAAAGTTCAAAAGTATTTATTTATCGTGTCATCAGCAACCATACCATTGTATTACATTTCTAACAGAACAAAACAAACACACAGATTAAAAACAAAAACAAAAAAACACAGATTTTGCACACTTGGTAGTTGGTTAAATGTCCTTTGACCAGTATCTGGCCACTTGGAGTGCCTCTGGTGTTGCTACAAGAAGGTCCTCCATCGTGCATGTGGCAGGGCTCAGGTTGCATTGCAGCAGGTGGTCAGTGGTTTGCTCTTCTCCACACTCGCATGTGGTGGATTCCACTTTGTAGCCCCATTTCTGAAGGTTGGCTCTGCATCTTGTAGTGCCAGAACACAGTCTGTTCAGCGCCTTCCAAGTCCCTCAGTCCTCTGTGTGCCCAGGGGGGAGTTTCTCATTTGGTATCAGCCATTGGTTGAGGTTCTGGGTTTGAGCCTGCCACTTTTGGACTCTTGCTTGCTGATGTGTTCCAGTGAGTGTCTCTGTAGATCTTAGAAAACTATTTCTTGATTTAAGTCGTTGACGTGCTGGCTGATACCCAAACAAGGGATGAGCTGGAGATGTCTCTGCCTTGGTCCTTTCACTATTGGCTGCTACTTCCCGGCAGATGTCAGGTGGTGCAATACCGGCTAGACAGTGTAATTTCTCCAGTGATGTAGAGGCAGACACCCCGTAATAATGCGGCATGTCTCATTAAGAGCCACATCCACTGTTTTAGTGTGGTGAGATGTGTTCCACACTGGGCATGCGTACTCAGCAGCAGAGTAGCACAGCGCAAGGCAGATGTCT